TGTTTGACGTTCCTAACAGAACCCAACACGCCGGCACCTCTCCAAGCATCCCTTACCGTCGTCATGTTCTCGCAGCACCTTCACAATCAGGAAAACTAAGTCAGGTTCCTAGGCTCGTTTTCCCGCTACCTGCTCGCGCGACCATCATCGTCCATGAATTGCTGCTCGCCATTGTTACCGGCGTACCACCTCTGTCCGGCGAGCTTTCTCCTCGTGACCAGTCGACATCAACCGAGACCAGGAGCCGTCGATCACCCCACGCGAACTATCATCATTCTTGCAGTCGCCGTCGTCCATCCGGAGAATCCATAGCCACCATCGCTATGTGCGTGTCCAGTCACTGGAGCATTTTACAGCAATCATGTTCATCGCGGTTTGTCGTGAGGAACATGTCCGTTCTGAGAAGGCTGTGTCCAGTCCCGGTGTCCAATAATTCGTAGCTTCGAGGCTTTTTTTGTTAGTTAAAGTCTCGGTTCTCCCGTTGTCCGACCTGTTGTCCAGCCCGTTTCTCTTCCGATAACTCGTAATTTCCCAAAAATAGGTAACTTATTCGAACCCTCTCGTTATTCCGGTCGTTCTCATATATCATATGTTAGATATATATATCGTGCGTACTACCGAATTCTTGTTCGAAGTCGGTTTCCTTTACATTTGATATTGGCTCGTATATGTCGTTTTGTTTATCGGATTATGTTCCTTTTTTTTTGCCGAAACGATAGAGAATATATAGAAACCAGAGAGAACAAAGGTTCGAATACAGTACGAGACCAAAAGGTCTAATCCTCAATCCTAGAAAAAGAAAAATGGGAGGACACGCTTACAAGCGGCCTAGAACCAAATACAACCGAAAACCGAAGAATGCTAACAAGACCACTGCAATAAGCCTAGCCTCCTAACAAACTCCACAAATCACAAGAAAACAAGAAACTGAAAACACCAACAAACTAAAAAATGACCCAAAACAGCAAGGAAAGCACTCAAATCGATCTAAACTCCAGCCAAGCATGAAGAGCCTTTTGATGACCACCTGAGTAGGCAACAGAGTCTGCTCAAACAGCCACAAATTCCTAGACTTCCACAACCACCATAGAAGGTAAGTTGTGAGTTGAATCCTGTCCTCAGCAACTAGAGAGAAAGGAATAAAACAGAGGTGCCACCACCATGATCTGAACAAACAGCCCTCAGAACTCACTCCAACCCATTGCACAGGGCTTGATATCCAGAATAATTTGGCTCTGGGACAGTGGAAGAAAACATGTTCTATTGTTTCAGGGGATTCTCCACATCCAACACAAATGGCATCTACTGCAACTCCCCTTTTAATGAGATTAGTATTGACAGGTAAAGTACCAGAGAGGCACTTCCAAATGAAATGCTTTAGGGTACCCTTTATTTTGAGTTGCCAGGTTCTGAGTCTAGCCTTTTTGATGATATGAACATTCTTACTATTGCCAGGAATATCCAGAAGAAGCAGTTTCTGATTTATCAAGAAAGAATAAGTAGAGGAGACACTGAACTTCCCTTTTTTCTCCAAACTCCAATAGATTTTGTCAGGCTTTGAAGGGTTGAGAGTGTTGATCTTCAAGATAGCCTGACTGTCTTCTTCATTGAACAATTGCTTAACCAGTCAAGAGTTCCATTGTTGACCACCCTCTTGCAGTAGCTCCTTAACCAGGTGATATGTCCTCTAGCAATTGCCAGTAAAGAAGGTTTGGCTGTAGAAAGAGTAGGAACCTAGTTGATATCAGATATTTTGGTGTTCACTCCATTATTAATTTCAGTCCTAAACCCCTGGGCAAGAATTGGCAGACACTCTACCCAGGAGTTTCATAGCTAAGATCCACTTTGAGATTTGCAGACCTCAAAGATTGAACAGTTAGGGTAATACCTGTCTTTTAGCACTCTGCTTACCAATAAATCTGGCTGAGAAACAAGCCTCCACAACTGTTTGCAAATCAGGGCCTTGTTGAAAGAGCTCACATCTTTAAACCCTATGCCCCCCTGAGCTTTGGGAATAGTCATGAGTTTCCAGGCTTTCCAGGGGATGCCTGTGTCCCGAGTTTCACCTTTACTCCACAAGTAGTGACTTAGCCCAGAAATGGCCTTGCAAATGGAAACTGGGAGCCTAAAGCAAGACATTTTGAACACTGGCAGGGCATTTATAACTGCTTTCAGAAGCACTTTCTTGCCAGCATTTGAGATCATTTTGTGCTTCCAACTCTGCAGCTTAGACTTAACAGAATCCACTACATAGGAGAAAACCTCTTTTTTGGATCTGCCAATCCCCAAGGGGAGGCCTAAGTACCTTGTAGAGGAGTGAGTTTGGATCCCATTAAGAGAAGAGCAGATAATTTTATGTACTTGCTCTGGAGTATTCTTGCTAAAAAACACAGAGGACTTTTGCAAGTTTACTTTCTGCCCAGTGAACAACCTGTATCTTTCCAGAAGTTGCATAAGTGCCTGAGCTTGACTGGCCTCAGCTTTACAAAGAAAAAGGGCATCGTCTGCAAAGAGCATGTGAGTCAATGTAGGACCATTCCTTGATAATCTAATCCCAAATAAGGTTCTTCTATTAACAACATAAGAAATCAGAGGAGATAAAAGTTCTGTGATAAGTATGAAGAGGTAGGGGGAAAGGGGATCCCCCTGTCTAATTTCTCTAGAAGGGAGAATAACACCAGTCAGAGCACCATTAACACAGAAAGAAATAGAAGAGGTGGAAATGCAGACCATCAAAAGCTTGACAAAATCAAAACTGAACCCCATCTTAAGCATGATCTTCTCAATACAGATCCACTCCACCCAGTCGAAAGCCTTTATAAGGTCAAGCATTAAAGCCATAAAGGAATTTCTCCCTGACCTGTGCCTGTTAAGGAAGTGAAATACCTCTTGGGCCAGTATGACATTATCCAACAATTGTTTGTCCTTAACAAAAGCAGATTGACTTTCATTTATGCAAGATAAAAGGCAGCCTTTCAACCTGATAGCTAATATTTTAGACAGAATCTTTTACACTACACTGGAGAGGGATATAGGTCTATACTGGTTGAGAGTTGATGGAGATTGGCTCTTTGGAACCAAAGTTATAATAGTATGGTTCCAATATTTCAAAAACATTCTAGAATCAAAAAAACTTTTAACTGCAGCAATGACATCCTTGTGAATAAAATTCCAAAAGTGCTGGTAAAAGTAAGCAGTCATACCATCTTCACCCGGGGATTTATCTGGAGGTAGGCTAAATAGAGCCTCTTTGATCTCTGATTCTTCCACAGGAGCTAAAAGTTGCTGGTTCATCTCCTTTGATATAGTTTGTGGAATGAGTGGGAGAAGGGAATCACCACCAAAAGAGCCTTCAGAGGAAAATAATAATGAATAGTAGCTTGTGATATGGTCCTCAATATCTCCCCTGGTTGAGCAAACCCTGTGGTTGTCAGTTAGAAGTCTAGATATGGCATTCAACCTTCTTCTCTAAATTGTGAAAGCATGGTAAAATTTGGTGTTTGCATCTCCTTCCTTGAGCCATTTGGATCTTGACTTTTGGGCACAATATTTTTCTTCATATACATAGGCTGCCTCCAGTTCCCCTTTAACTGAGTCCCATTCCTGCCAATCTTCCTTTCTGCCAACAGAAGTGATAGAGTTGAGCTTATCAGAGAGATTGGCTATCTTTTCTTGGTTCTGAGTCTTGAACTTTGAGCTCCAGATAAGATGGGCTATTCTAGTTTGCTTGACTCTTTCCTTTAGTTGGTAAAATGGAGTCCCAGTTTGAGGAATTAGCCAAGCTTTCTGAACCACTTCCTGGAACCCTTCCATAGTAGTCCATCTCTTGTCAAAGATAAATCTTCTTTTCAGCTTTAAAGATGGGTCCCCAGTGTGGAGCAGAAGCATAGAGTGGTCAGATGCTGTTCTAATCACATTGATGACTTTTGCCTTTGGATGACTGAAGTGCCAATTGTAAGTTGCAAAGCCTCTGTCAAGCTTATCCTCCACAAATCCCTCAGAATCTCTGTTATTAGCCCAAGTGAACATGTGCCCTTCCATTCCTATCTCTTCCATGTCCATGTTGAAGATAAATTTGTTGAAGCCTTCAAAACTCCTATTCGGCCTTGTCCTGCCTCCATGTTTTTCTTCTCTAGAACAAATGGCATTCCAGTCCCCAATTGAGAACCAATTGTCACCCCAAGATAATCTGTCCTCCTCTAACACCAACCACTGAGATTCTCTGATGGATTTTTCAGCACTCATATAAACAAAAACTCCCCAGCCATGATCCTTTTAGTTAATCTTGTACTGAACTGCAATATAGAACTCTTTAGCCACTAGTTGAATGATCTCCACCTCTTGATGCCACAAAAGAAGAAGGCCTCCACTGAGGCCATTTGGATCCACCACAAAATGCCTATCAACAAACCCCAATTTCATACTAATAGACTTAACAAAATCACTATTATTTTTAGTTTCAGATAAAAAGAAAAACATTGGGTGGTGAGCTTTGAGAGACTCTTTGATTTGGGAAACTATAGAGAGCCCACCCAACCCTCTATAATTCCACACCGCAGCTAACATTTATGCGTTGGGTGCCACTTTAGGCTGGCATTCCCCACCTCAACAACTGAGCCTTTGCTTTTCTTTTCAACTGGCACCTCTAGCTTCTGCCCCTCAGTTTCCTCTACCTCTGAGAATGTCTCCTCTCTGTCCCTCTTAGCACCTAGTATCACCCCCTTGCCTGCCTCTTGAATAGATTGTCTCTGAAGTCTTCCCCTGCTAGTAGAAGATCTCTTCCTAGTTCTAACATTTGCTACAACCATCTCCTTAGGGGTATCAGAGTTGCCCAATGGGTCAGCTAAAGGAGACAGTGGAGGCAGAGCTACTTCTATCTCCATCATCCTGCCTGTCTCAGAGGGACGTGGAGCAGCCTCCTGAGTGAGAGGAGCTGTGGTAGCTAACTCCATAGATAGGACAGGCTGAGAGGTGGCCTTTGCTGCATTGGTCCTTTGCACAGATGGTGAAGCCTCTTGTATTCCAGATGTTGAGGCAACTGTATCTTGAATAAAAGCCTCCTGGAGATTCTTCATTACTGAGGACGATTGAATTTTGTCTTTCTGCTGATATTAGGATCCTGAGGGCTGTGAGGAGGTTTCTGTCCTTGGGCCTTGACCATAAGAAGGAGAGTGTCTTGAGCCTGAGGGACTGTAGAACTGCCAAGGAGGAACATCCTCAGCTTTTAGCCACTCACCATATTGCCCTTCCTTAAGCTTGTGAGCTTTGATATCCTCCAACCTTCTTGCACAGCTTTTGTCCATATGCCCAATAGCTCCACAATAGTAGCATAAGTTGACTAATCTCTCATACTTAAACCCCACTGTAACTGTCTGCTCTCCAAGCCTTAATATGGAGAATCTAGGTAAAGCTTCTTTGAGATCAATTGTAACTAGAAGCTTGAGAACTTTCCCTCCATGAGGGCTTGTATTAATAACCTCTACATTTCTGACTTCAGGGAACACCAGCCCAACTTTCAAACCCACTTCAGCACTTATCCAATCCAAAGGGAGATTGATTACCTGAACCCAAAGCAGAAGCTCATTGAAGCTTTGATGGCTGCTATTAATCCCCTTTTTACATTCACGAAGAATTAGGTATTGGTTGTCGTAGATCCAGTTTGTGCCGCCTGCTACCTTTTTCATATCATCTTTATTTTGGAAGATGAACTGGAAGAAGTTCGGTTCCAGCTCCTTGGTCTCCATAGGTTTCTGTAACTTCCAGATATTAGACATAGTTCTATTAATCCCTACCCAGCTTGCCCTACGATCCCCTATCACCTTTCCAAACAAGCTCCGATTGTATTCCTCGGCACTGAGACTGATATGGGATATTATATACACAAAGCTAAACCGGTCTGCTGGGCCGGTCGAGAAGGTTAAACCAAGAGGGAGCCAAGCTAAAAGGCAAGAAGATCGAACATTCAGGGAATCGACCAGACTAACGATCGAGCAGTCCACCGCACGACCAGACTAACGATCGAACGGTCCACCGCACGACCAGACACCCATCGCTCGACTAGATACATGATCGAGTAACCTATTCGACCTCAACAGGTCGATCGCTTCGAGGAACTAATAGTCGGCCTAGTCATGGGCGCGTGTATCACGGGCGCGTGTGAGAGCCTCCAACTGAGTCCCAAGAGAATATTTACCCCATGTGCAGGGGGGACACGTGTCGACAATGTATTGGGTGATAGCGATAACCACCTCTGACAGCTCCCAACGCCCCGCGCCACCTCTGACATGTGCGCGGCGTGCCAGAGTACGGACGGGCAGCTTGGGCAGCCAGCTCATCCTTATCAGGGCAGCTATTAGGGCAGGTATCTCACCCCTATATAAAGGGGGTGAGCCTTTTTCCTTGAACACAATCTATTTTCCATACTTCACTTCAGTATACTCATACACATACTGACTTAAGCATCTGAGGCTCTTCACCGGATACAACCCCCGGTGTGAGAGTTATTTACAGGTTTTCGGCGTTCTACCGGCGAAGACCAAGATCTATCCGTTCAAACCGGACCAGGACGCTTACACTTGCATTATTGGCGCCGTCTGTGGGGATTCTTTGTTCAAAAAGTTGTGTTTGAAGCTCAGCTATGGCGGACAAAATTCCTAAAAACTTGCAGTCGACGTTCGACGAAGCTTGGACGACGACCAGGCCGTTGGGGCACGGCCCTTCTTCCGGGTTTTTCCGGCCCATCGCAGACTCCGATCACTCCCGCACCTAATCTTCAAGGTGGAGTGACGACGGTGATTCCCAGAGGAGATGCCAGCTCCAGTCGGGCCCAAGAGGCTCGTGTAGCGGCAGCAGCGGTGATGCCACCACCACCACCAGATCCAACACAAGGGCAGGGAGGAGTGCTGGCGCAAGGAGGAGTGCCACCACAGGCAGCTATACAAGCCCCCGGCCAAGAAATGGTGGCAATGACCCGAGAGGAGATGCAGAGGATAGCGGCGGCCGCGGCGGTGCAGGTGGTGCAGCAAGTTGCGAGTCATACATCTCATGCCACCACTGCGCCGACCACGGTGGTCGGAAGCCAGGATGAGGATGTGTCTAGTTACGGAGAAGGGGGAGCTGGAAGAGATCGGGCAATTGAGAGGATGGCGGAGCAGTTGCGCCAGCTGCAAGACAAGGTAGAGGGGAGGCCAGAGAGGAGAGCTCGAGGACATCCCTTTTCAAGGGAGATTCTCGCTGCTCCTTTGCCAAACAATTTCAAGGAGACCAACTTGGTGTATGACGGGTCATCTGACCCATCGAGGCATGTGAGGACCTTTGAAAATATGGCTGTGTTGCATGGGTACTCTGATTCTGTTTGTTGCAGGGCATTTTTATCGACCCTGCGTGGGGGAGCACTTGATTGGCTTCATCAACTTCCACCCGGGTCGATCGCGAGCTTTGAGGACTTTACGGGCAAGCTTATCAATCAATATTCGAGCGCTGTGGTGCAAGAGAAAACGTATTTGACTTTGATGGCGATGAGGCAGGGGGAGAAGGAATCATTAAGGAAGTACGTTGCTCGATATAACCAAACATGTTTAGAGGTGCACTCGGCTTCGGACGAGGTGAAGGCGGGTGGATTGATAAGGAGTCTTCGAGCAGGGCCTTGTCGAACTTCCCTAGCAAAAACCCCTGCTTGATCATATGAGGATGTGCTGAAGCGGTGCAGGAAGTATATTAACTTGGAGGAGATGGAGATGGAGTTTGCAAAGTTGGAGGGAGTGGCTCGACCAGCGCCAAAAACGGAGAAAAGTCCGCAGAGGGGGAGATCGCCGAGGAGGTGTTGGTGTTATATACTTAAGCTTTGCTTTAGTGGATATTACACTTGTTATTCTTTGATGAATGAGAATTATGTTTGGTTAAATAAGTTCCACGTTCTGTTTTTTTGCATGTAGATAAATGGGTCGTCATCGGGCGTACCGAAGATCACTATATCAGTTACTTGCGAAACAAGAATCGTTGGTTCACAACCTAGATGGAATTGAACAACCC